GTGTCTCAGAGGAAAATGGATGTAATACGGTTGGCTGCATCAGGCGTTGCTTATCTAATCTATATCTCAGCTACTCAACTTAAAAATCTGATGCAGTTTACAACAATAGAATTTTAGCATAATGTGAAAAATTTAGGGTAATAAAATGGGAAAATGAGGGCGGACTACTCTGAGGAAGTGAGGAAGAGTTAATAGAAATGTATGTATAAGGTTTTGCATATTTAGTAAGTGTAGAATATCTTAGTAAAGACCTAGATGTTTCAGGATATAGTTTACAGTATTAAGAAAGTATTCCATCAAATTCTCATTATTAAGAGTTAACGTTGCAGCCAGCTGTGTTGGTGCACACCTATAGTCCCAGCACTCAGGAGGCTGAGGCAGGAGGACTGCTGGGAGTTTGAGGCCAGCCTGGGATACATAGTGAGTTCAAGGCCCAGATGGACTACCTAGCAAGAACCTGTCACAAGAACAGCAACAACAAAATTAATGTTGCATTTTGTCAAAAAAGTATTTAGGACCAGGAAAATAGGATTACAATCACCCCAGCCACATGTTGTATGCTTGTAATAAAGTAATTACTACACAATTATGGCGATCTGTAATATGGTCATAATGTATATGCCACCGTAATACACTGATTATGTGCTGCCAGATTTTTCTTGTGAAATGCTTCCATTTTGGAGCCTGTTTAAAAGTTCTTTTTGAGCACTTTCTCCCTTTACAATATACCCGTCAGCCCTGTCGAACACATGGACTTTCAAGAAATCATCATTGTGAACGTTCTAATTAGTACTTTCTGTGTTAGCACAGTTATAAATAACTTTAATCACCAGTAGGAATGCAGATTAGGTACTGTGATATTTTTCATTTTGCAGGCAAGGAAACTGAGGTGCACAGGGGTGAAGTGCTTTGTCTTGGACTGATAATACCGGGGCAGAATTTAGTCTTGGGCTCCGGAGTCTATGCTTGTAAGTCAAGAAATTGAGCATGACGTGAAACTGTTGTTACAGTGATGGCAGGGTCACTTTGCTTTCCACCATTAGCCCCCTCGCATCGTTTTAGGGGATCATCTGGCCTAGTTTATTCTGCACCCACCTGCGTGGCAGAATACCCAGCACAGCCACAGCACTCTGAAGCTCTGCTCTCTGCAACGCCGGGCTGCCTGAAGGGAGAGGATCCAAAGTAAGAGAGCTGGATTTGTCAACAGAGTAATTACGGGAAGGCTGTTTGCATTACTAGAAGATCAAGTAGCAGGGCGTGGTGGAGCAGGCCTGTATTCCCAGCGCTTGGGAGGCTGAGGCAGGAGGATCGTTGTGAGTTGGAGACCAGCCTGGGCTACAAAGTGAGCTCAAGGCCAGCCTGAACTGCATAGAGAGATCCTGTCTCAAAAAGACAAAGATAGGGGCTGGGGATTTAGCTCAGCGGCCTGGAAGCACAAGGTCATGAGTTCGAGTCCTAATCTCGGAAGAAAAAAACAACAAAAATAAAAAATAAATAAAGGATCTAGTAGTTCATGAAAAACGTCAGTATTTGATTTCCTTTAACAGTACTCCATCTGTCTTCTACCACAAGTCATTTTAAAGATGAAGCAAATTAAATTTGACCAGTTGTCAACACTGTATAACTTTAGCTATTAAGTATGAAAGCTTAAAGGTAATTTCATTCTACACGAATTTTCTTAATTGACATTTTAATTACATACTGCTAAATGAAGTACTGATAGAATTTTGGTAGAACTTCTGATAAGACTACAGTGTCTATATTTTAGGCAGCTACAAGTCCACAAAGAGTTTCCCGGTGCAGAACAGAAAAAGAGGTCTCGTTTTTCAGTTGTCTTGTCTTTCCGTGTCTGCGTCCCCAATGGAGCGCAAGGCTGTGAAATGCCCGGATGCTGGTAGATAGCAAGGGAAGACAGCGAGCAGTGCGAGCCCGCACGAGCAACCAGGCTCTGGCGTCTGCTCTGGTTTGTACCTAGTGGCAACAGCTTCCTTGATCGAAGGTGATTGTGGAAGTAACGAAGTCATTTTTAATCGCTCATGTAAACATATGGCCTAGACTGCGGTACTGTCTGACTTCTTTATTTGTTGTCTTTCTAATTTCAAGTCTTTTTTTTAAACTACTGGGGCATAATTATATGAATCTATATTAAGGAAGGAATTAAAAGATTAGCTCTAAGAGACACTCTACCAAAATGAGAATCATTTAGGAGAACTAGGGGCTTACCTTTGTTTTCTAGAAGGAATTCCTGGGGCTTATTAAAAGGGAAGTTCGGAGACCAATTAAGATACTTACATAGTTGCAAGGCTAAGTATAAAATAAAAATGGAGAGCCCCTGTTTCAAAACGGAAGGGAAAAGCACCAGGCATAGTGGCACATGCCTGTGATTCCAGCACTTGGGAGGCTGAGGCAGGAGGATCGTTGTGAGTTCGAGACCAGCCTGGGCTACAAGTGAGCTCAAGGCCAGCCTGAACTGCATAGTGAGACCCTGTCTCAAAAAGATGAAAAAAAAAAAAAAAGAAAAAAAAAAAAAGAAAGAAAAGCAGGGAAAATTATCATTAAAGACATTAACATTTAAACTTTTCCCCTTACTTTCATGGTCTCACCCATTAACTTGTCATAGTGCTAGTTGCTATTTAATGTCACTTTAATTAAAGAAAAATCATAATTTAAAATTATAAATTGTAGAAATCCTACCAAAATCTACTACTACTTCATTTAGCAGTCTGTAATTAAAGTGTCAGTTTAAGAACATTTGTGTAGAATGCAGTTACCTTAAGTTTTCATTCCTGATAGCCAAGCATAAAGTTTACCTTTTACCTTGATATTACACAGTGCTGGTTTTAAATGCTTTTATTCAATGGAATTACTAAAATTGCACAACTTGTACTTCCTAGTTCCTTCCAGTATATGTGTTTCTTAGAGAGAACAGTGGAAATGATGTATAAAGCTATTATTTGTCTTTTGATGTGTGTACATCGCATGCTTTTAGAAAGGCTGATTTAGGAATGAGGAAGATCTAAGAGGCTGTGCATTGCCCTCATTTTCCCGTTCCTTCCATTTTATCATTTTCAGTGTAAGCGGTCGCCTAACGCAGCGAGGGAACAGAACTAAGAAGGGATACGATAGGAATCCTTGGTTGTCTGTGTTGAGTCAAACATGATTGCTTTTCTGCATTTGAAGCCCCTTCTTGCTCAAAAAGAGTAGTCTGTCAGAGCCCTTAGTGACCCCTCCACACACCTGCACACTCAGCTGCAGACGTGACATGCTTGCTTGCTCTGTTCTGCTTGTGTCTTGCTAAACTCCTGTGTTCCCCGCGTCCTTATGAACACCGTGATAGTGGAGCACCTGGAATGCTGTGCGCGAGGAGGAAGAACTCTATAGACATGTACGCTGTTCCCATCGCCTCTGCTTACACGCACATGCCAGTATCCCATCACACGTCACTTTCGAAACACAATTTCAAAGACAGAAGTATTAACAATTTCGAGACGGTGACAACAAGGCATTAGGCCAAGCATGGGGACCCTGTGTCTTGCATGTCTGTGACAACGACTGCTTCAGTAATTTCACCATTACGAATTGGAGTAATAGTAATGTTCCAGGTAGAATTGCCGTAGGCAACATTAGCTGGTGAATATCATGTTTTTAACAGTGCCTGGCATATGGAAAGCCCACAGCATGTGGTAGTTTGGTAATAGCTGTGTTCTCTGTACCCCCAGTAAAGTTAAGCAATGGTTATTGCAATCCTACTAGTGGACCTATTGGTTTGAACTGGGTCAGGAATGCCTGGTACAAACCCCTGTAAGGAACGTATACTTTCAAACTCATGGGACTCTGGCACGGAATGAAGGGCCCTTATCTGGGTAATGGTCACGAGGCAACTGTATAACACACAGGGAAAGACCCTGAGGTGAGTCCTGAGTTGCCTGGGTTACTTTCTTCGGTGGTTATCACTGGGGCAGGTTAGAGCAGCTGGCGCGGCTGGGGTGTCTGGAGAAAGACAAGGGCACACGTCATGAAAGGCGGTCGCACCGCCAGGCTGTCTCCCTCTGAAAGGGGAGTCAGCTCTGCAAAGCCTTAGTCAAGAAAGCTTCTGTTCCAGACTCATAGAAGGAAATATTTAAACCCAGAAGGAAAGCAAAATGAGGGTATAAATGAGGTCTGCCTGAGCAGAGAGAGGTTTACTGTTCAAAGTGACATCTCATTTATATGCGCTTGACTATAGCCTTCAATAAAATTTGGTGTAGAATAAACTTCAGGGTACAAAGGTTCCAAAGAAATATTGCCGATAATATTCTTCAACCAGTTAGTAATCCAGTAGAGATGCTACACCTTGGTGTTATCTTATGTCCTAAATATATTTGGTTTATTTGTATATATTTAACCAATGATTCGTCTTGGAAATATCAACTTTTTAAAAAGAGTTCCTTATTGAATTAGCACACACAATTATTTTAACATAATTTTATTAACACCTAGATATTTTTAAAAGATTCTTTATTAACTTGTATTTCATCGATACACATTTTAAAATGAGGCAAGGCATTATAAAAATTTAGGTTCCCACGAAAATGGGCAATCTTAGATCATAGCACATATAAGATCCCCTTGTCTTATGTGAATCTTCCATTCTCTAATTTTGGGATATTACATTGCCCTTCGTGAGGAGAAGGCTAACAGAGTGAGCATAATATGATTTTAAAAAAAAAAATCTAACAAGAAGAGTATTGATGAAAATGTGGCATAAAATCTGTATCTTGCATAGTTAGGACTTCTTTCCAACCCCTTCCCACTTGGATTTGAAAATCTGGATTTCATTTTCAATTTAGAAATGTAATGGACTTCTCAGGAAATACTAACTTTGTGCATTCCTGGACCTCTCATTCCCTGGTCCTGCGGGTGTGGAGGTGAACCAACCCCAGGAAATGCTGAGTCAGGACATGGGCATGCCGCTGTTCTTCAATGATTTTACCAGTAAATTATGTTATTATTGTTCCCAGATGCAGAGCCGAAGTACCTGATAGTTGTACGTCCTGTTCCCCCTCCGAGTCAAAAGAAGTCATGTTCAGGTATAGTCATTTTCATTGATTATTTAAAATTAACTTTAATCCGTGACTTTTCTTCTTCTTCCTACACATGGAGGCTAAATGCTGCAGCGATGCTGTAGGAACACATCGAGCAGATGGATCTAAGTCTACACCACCTTCTGGAGAAGCCCCCCAGCCTAGAGGTAGAACTGTGCGGGATTTTGCTAGGACCACCCCTTGCAGACGTCGGGGATTTAGGCGCGTGACCCAGAGCTGCACCCGGTTCTGCTGTGTGATAGGGTTGTTTTGTGGATTGAAGGAGTTAATGACAGCTCCTGGCCTGTGGTCGGTTTCATTCAGGGCTGGCTCCGGAGAGATGGTTTCTGTTTTGTCATGTGTGAGCTCTTTACTGTTGCACATTTTCCCCTTTAAGGACAAAGGTTTATGTCTAACCTTTGTTTATGGAGACTGTCTGTATTTCAAAATGATGCCTCAGGGAAGGGGATGGAGGAAGAGCTGAGATGTGCTCTGGGCATGCGTCAGCCCCCCACGAGGAAAGGGGCTGCTATGCAGTGCAAACACGTGCTCATAGAAATCAGAACCGAAGAAAGAAAGCAGGAGGGCCCTTTGATAAAACGGTTGCGTCCATTTTCCCAACCCTAGCCTGACCGGAAAGAAGAAAGAAGGTACCATGTGAATAATTGCATGGGAACTTTCCTATGATTCAAGGAAAATTAAAAGCCCACCATGTATAATTTACTGAGACTCCCCAGGTTAAATAAGCTGAGATCTGCCTTAAAGAAAAAAATGGTAAATCTGTATTTTTTCAATCTGGTGTGGCACATTTCTGTCTCTGTATAGAGAATGGACCAGGAGTTTGCTTTGAATTTTCTTTTTCTAATGTGAGCAGTTCTTCCCTGATTGTTTCCTACTTATGTTCGTCTTTTATGGAATACTGGATATCACGTAGAAAGGGATCCTTTGTTTGCTTGCTATACTTTTCTGTAAAGATAAAACAGGATGAAGAGGCTTTGGCAATTCAGTGGGTCTCTCGCTTGTGAGGTAGGTGCTGTACCACTGAGCTACATCCCCAGCCCTCCACATACTTTAAAATAACTGTATCCCCAATATTTAAAGACTGTATTTATTACAATATATTGAACAGAAAAGTCAAGAAACATGAGTTTATTTTCTTAGAATCTTATTTCACATGAGTATTTATTGAACTGTTTTTTGATACAAATAGTATCATGATACCAATAAAAAAAATACATAAGAGAAGTCAAGAAAACATTGTGCCTTACTGGCATTTTGCAACTGCATTTCATTTTGAAGCCTGTATGACGCAGAAGAGAGGATACTTTTCATTTCATTATGACCAGTTCAGGAAATTGCTTCATCTTATTCAGGATGTGATACCCTGTCTTTCCTTTCAGGCAAGGGATATATTTTTTGTTTTTTTAAATTTATATTTGGCAGTGAGGCAACGGCTAAAAGATAAACTTCATTTGTTTTATTTTTTGCATTTATATCTGCTACATAAATGCTAATTATTTCATCATTCCCATACAAAGACCAAAAACTTGTTAAAAACTATTTGACAATCATATAAGCATTAGGTTCCACTAGGGAAAGATAGAAACATGTATCTTTGATTTCTAAGTAGTGTTACCTTCATAAACTGTGAGTTCAGCCAATAATGTCGTAAAAAGAATGAGGTAATAACTGAAGAGACCTAAATTTGACTTTTATTTTGCATTCATTGCAATTTTAGACATCCTTGAAACTTTTCTGGTCCTTGTTTTTCACTCGAAATATAAAAGTTTTGCAGTATAGTGGTGAAAATCAACTTAGAGATAGAAAAAAGAATATGAAAATCTACTCAGGGCCTTTTCAAACTGTACGTGCCCCTTACTGCAATTCAGATTCTTGTTTGCCCTCCCCAGAGTTCAGATACGGGCCATCCAGATCATCCTTATAAAATGCACAGTCATAGGTAGATCAAGAAAAGTGTATAGAGGAAGATAAATGCAAGTTTGCATCCAAATAAATGATGACTATCCTGGTAAATTACTGCAAATATCTTTAAAAAGTCAATTATTCATAATTAAGAAAAAGGAGTTCTAGTTTTCTGTTGTACTGTAGTTGTGACCATGTGTGACTGCATGTATGAATTATTTTTCTGTTATTATAACAAATACTGTGACAATCACTTACTAAAAAAAGTTTATTGGGCTCAGGGTTTTAACAGGTTCAGTCCATGGCTGGTTGCCCCTTTGCATAGGGTTGTGAGGACATCTCACATTGGGGGTGCTTGGCAGAGCAGAATTTAACTCCCGGCCAAAACACAAAAAAGGAGAAAGAGGAAGTGTCCGGAGTCCCATGATCCCCTTGGGGGCATTGCCCCCTATGACCTAAGGCCCTCCCACTGACTTCCGCCTCTTCAAGATTCTCAGATCCCATCAGTGCCACGGGTGGAGGGCCAAGCCTTTGACATATGGAGCTTTGGGAGACACTTAGTGAAACCACAGCAGCTTAGAGAACAACACATACTATTTACTTTAAAGAAAGCTAGAAGATCTTGAATGTTTTAAGCATAAGGATGGTTTGTTCTTGTTGAACTTTATACAGTGTATATAAGTATTGAAAAATTATGGACACCCCATAAATATGTACAACTTTTATGCATATCAGTTAAAACAAAGAAGCCATCTATCTTATAACAAGGCAACTGGCTACCACAAGGTTGTATATATTCTAGTAAAACTACAGCGATGAAACAATTTACCAGGTTTCCTTAAGAATTTTAAAATTTATTTATCCTCATCGAGGCAGTGTGGTTCCATGACTGAGATTCTTCTTCTTTCTCACTGTCTTCTTAGTCCTCCAGTTTCAAAAAAATTCTTTAAGTTGAAAAGAATCTACAGTGAATCAACAGCATAACCTTTTAAAAAATTTTGTTTTAAAGAGAAAAAAAAGTAAAACAAAATTTCAAAATAAGATAATAGGGGAGTAACAGGTTAATACATTGTGCATTGTTATCTTTAAATTGGTTATGCAGTGTAGAAGATATATGCACTTAATTGTCCAAACAATATCAAAACAAGCCTTTCTTTCAATGAACTAAATTAGTTGTGTAGCAATCTTAACTCTCATATATATATAGATAGATATAGATAGAGAGAGAGAGAGAGATATAGATATGGGTGCATAGGTTTTTTTGCTTCTTCCTTCCTTCTTTTCTCCTTTCCCCCATCCTAGTTTCTCTTTTCTTTTGAAGAGTTTCCTCTCATTTTCCAATATCTATTGTACATTTTGGATCTTATTTACTCTTCCAGCTTCTCATACTAGGGAAACAACATGATGTTTACACATGGAGTCTTGTTTATTTCACTTATGAGTATGGCCTCAAGTTACATCCATTTATCTATGAAAGTCTCCAGTTTATCCTTTTTTATGGCTGAGTAGTAGTACTCCATTGTATAACAAGACCTCATCTTTTTTATCAATTCCTCAGTTGATGGGCATTTGGGTTGTTTCTAAGATCTAGCTATTACAAACTGTGCTGCTATAAACATAGGTGTACACAGATTACTGTGGTATGATGTTTTTAATTCTTCTGGGAAGATACTCAGAAGGGGAATATCTGGATCAAATGGGACCTCCAATCCTAGTTTTTCGAGGAATTGCTGCACTGATTTCCACAATGGTTGTACCAGCCTACACTCCCACCAACAGTGGAGAAACGTTTCTTTTTCCCCACAGCCCCTCCAGCATTGGTTATTAGTTGATTTCTTGGTGATAGCCATTCTTTCTGGGGTGAGGTGGAATCTCAGTGCTGTTATAATTTGCATTTCTTTAATGACCAATGATGTTAAACATGTTTTCATATATTTATTTGCTGTTTGTATTTCTTCATCTGAGAAGTTTGTATTCATTTTAGATTCCCATTTTCAGATTGGGTCTTTAAATTTGGGAGGTCTGATTTTTTGAGTTCTTTATATGTTTTTGATAGCAGCCCTTTGTCTGAGGAACAGCTGGTAAACTTTTTTTCCCACATTTTGGGTTGTCTCTTCACTCTGTTGATGATTTCTCTTGCTGTACAAAAAACTTTTTAATGAGATGAGATCCAAGGTGCTAATTCTTTGTGGTAGTTCCCATGTGATCAGGGCTTTATTCATAACATTTTTGCCTACACCAATGTCTTCAAGAGTTTTACATATTCTATCTTCCAGCAGATTTAATGTGTCTGTTTTAGTATTTAGAACTTTGATCCATTTCAAATTTAGTTTAGTACATGGTGAAAGATATGGGTCTAATTTTAATCTTTGGCATGTGAAAAACCAATTTTTACAGCACCATTTATTAAAGAGGCTATCTTTTTTCCAGTGAATATATTTGCCACTTTTGTCAAAGATAATGTGGCTGAGTATGTCTAGAGTTGTTTCTGCATCTTCTAATCTGTTCCATTGATCCTCAGGTCTATTTTTTTTTTTTTGCCAGTACCATGCTGTTTTTATCACAGTAACTTTATAATATAATTTCAAGTCAGGGATTGTGATGCCCCCTGCCCTGCCCTTGTTGCCCAGAATCACCTTTGCTATTCTAGGACTTTTGTGGTTTCAAATGCATTTTAGGATTTCCACGACATAACTCTTGACACTGCCTGAATCCAATTGGTCCCATCAGAGGAGTTGTATTTCTTGTATTATTTCTACTCTTCCAGGATTATTAAAAATGTGTGTACATGTTCCTTTTAGGCATTTTTTGTAAACTATGTGCTTATTACAATAGTACATCATGGGATTTCGTACTTCTAAATAGGTCTTAAAAAGGAATGTTACCTAGAACCTAGATGAGAAGGTTTCTTTCCTCCCCTTTGACATTACTTCATACGAGTTCCCAGGAGAAAATAAACATGTTTTCATCTGTAAAAAAATGAGTGATATGTGCACGGGGTTGTACACGTATACACTTAGGTATTTATGTGTAAAAATACACTGAACATAGCCAAGACCTCAATATCCATCTATGGCCCACAAAAAAAAATGAAAACTAGGTTTACTCAGATATGGCTTATATGTACCCATATGCATGTGGATGCGCTTGCATATGTAAATCTACTAATATACATTTCATGTGACTCATCTTCAAATTCATGAGCAAAAATTGTAATATTTTTTCTTATATCAAAAGGAATTTGGTGTTTTCACGCTTTTTATCATCCTACCCAATCATGGTTATGCATTTTATCAAAAATACATTAACTCTCTCCAGAACTAACTGGTGTGCTGCCTTGGCAGGTAAAACTCGCGCCCGTAAACCTCTACAGCTGGTGGTTGGCACTCTGTCACCAAGCTCGGTCTTCCTGTCCTGGGGTTTCCTCATCAATCCTCACCACGACTGGACATTGCCGAGCCACTGTCCCAACGACAGGTAATTTGTCATAATAAAAATGTCTTTCCTCTGAAAACTAGCACCTCTTTCAGTGGTACTCGCATGTGCATTTTAAGAATTTATACATATAAAATGAGCATTTACTTATTACCTGTTAGCTGCACAGTTGTTCTAGGTTTGAGAGAAACATAGATAACATGAGTCAGGGGTCCTGTCTTGCCAGTTATGATCTGCCAGAGTAGAAAACACATGAATGTATCCTTCAGCCCAAGAAGGAAAATACAAGGGGGAAGGAGCCAATAGCAAGTGGACAATGTCAGTAATAAAATAACATGGGTTACAGGAGGGGGCTGAAGGCAATTGGGAAAAACTGTGAAGAGCTGAAAAATTCCTTGGAAAAGAAAAAGTCTTTGGTCTTTCATTTGAAGGAGTGCTTGAAGCAGTAAGGGGGCCTTCAAACCGAGGGACGTCACATTTGCCTTTACTTGGAAGGTTGTCACCAAGGTGAAACCTAGGTCCCCCCTAGACTTGAGTGGATCAGAAACTCTGAGGCTGGAGCTCAGCCTCCGTGTCTTCACAAGCCTTCCAGATGGCTCCAGTGCTCACTGGAGTCTGAGAATCACTAGTGTAGACAGCGGGAGACACAGGGGAGAATCAGGCAGAGGGAAAACAGAGATGAAGATATCGTCTTCTTCGGCAGAACACAAGTGGAAAGTCAAGTATATTTCAACATTTCTGCTGCGCATTCATCCTTCCACCCCGCACATGTATTCAGCACTGTGTACCTGGCATTGTACCTAACATTGCTTATGGAATGGTGCAGCAATCTACTTATCATAAATATTTATCACATTAGCTGGCTTCAAAATTCAGAAACATACGAATGGAGAAGCATTTAAATGTTTCAAGCTTTAATTGAGACATTTTATTTTAAAATATTTAAAAGAAATACCCACGGTGACTTTTACATTTGTGAAGTTTTTTCATTCCCCTAAAACAAAAACAATGAGGTATAATTTAAACATTGTAAAGTGCACAGACCTTATGTATACAGATTAATCTGTTGTGGTAAATGTATAAAAGCATGTGTTTTACAATAAGAAACAGAACATTTCATCACCCCGGAAAGTAGATACTTTCCTGTAGCAGCAGCCACTGCTTTGCTATTACTATCGATTAGTTCCGCCTACCCTAGAACGCATTTAAATGGAGTTATATAGTAGGGGGTTGTTTTGCCTGGTTTTTTTTTTTTTCATCCAGCATGGTTTTGAGAGTTGTTCATGACATTATAGCATTTTGTTCCTGAGTAGAATTCCATATTTGAATATTCCACTTTATTTATTTTCTTGCTGTAAACACCTGGACTGTGGTGACTTTTTAATGAATATAGATTTCGCTAAGAATTTTTGCATAAGATTTTTGTGAAAATACCTTTTAATTTCTTTTAGATAAAGATCTAGAATTGGAATTGCTGCATTACAGGGAGGATGCATATTTAATTGCTTTTGTCTAATTTTTCTATCAATATACCCCAGGCAATATATGAGGGCCCTGGTTGCTCTACATCCTCACCAACACACTGGAATTCACAGTATTTTTCATTTTAGCTATTGCAATGTTGCACTTTCTCATTGGAGCTTTAACTTGCATTTCCCTTGAGTTAAGGTAATTGACCACTTTTTCAGGTACTTTTTGGGGATGTGTGTATTTTTGTAGTGTTTTATTTATTTTTGTCTAAATTAAACAAAAAAGGACCTTTTGAAATGTTTACAACTTCTCAAACATACTTTTCATATGACTTTAATTAGGAAATCTAAACTAAAACAGGAAAAGAAATCAAATTTTTCTTTTTATGTTCATTGTTCTCAAGGGATAAGTACTTAGAAAAGGGCATATAAAAGATATTTCCAAAACCCAATTTTTGAAAAATAATTTTGAGATGTTTCAAAGAATTTGAAATATTCCTTATTTCACCCACCACTAAGCCCATGACTTATTTTGCTTGGATTGTAGACTCTTGAAAGTACATGTTTTCTTGGAATAATTCTAGTTTCCAGTGGATTAGTCTAAGATGCCAGTGCTGAGAAAATAAACATTTACTGGTTACTTTTTTAAAAAATCCCTTATTAAAATGGAAAGCAAAAGAGGGAAGGAAAGAGAAAGGAATGGATGAAGGATATCATTGGTTTCTCAATGTGCTTGATAAATCTTTGAGACTATTTGTTTCAACAGGTTCAGTAACCCAGCAAATTCTTACATTATTTGGCTGTAATTTTCTCCCTGCCCTGAAGTAGTTCCTTCAAATTTACTTGGTCCTATTGACTTTTTCATGAAAGAATTTATCTGATGACTAATTTGGATGGACAGGTTTTGTTACAGGAGATAATGAAATAGATAAAATGAGAACAGACTACTGAGGGCAGAGGATCCTTAGCGCATTTCACGCTCAGGCCCAACCCCCTCAGACCACACATGCATCTCACCCTGTCCCCCTGCGTACCCAACCCGGCCCTGCCCTGCTCATCAAATACATGGAGTCAGACATGTCAAGTCACGATATTTGAAGTTGGGAATTCCACTTTAAATGCAGTTGTAGAAAATTCAATAATAACACCTCATGATGTTTGCATTCTTTCTGTCCTGAGTGGGAGAACCAAGGCAGTCTAACAGCTACCAGAACTGTTAGGATCTGACTTCTTGGGAAGAATTAAATAGTCATGAGCGAAGAGAGCATTTGAGGTTCTTGTTGATCCCATTTACTCAGGACTTTCCTCTCAATTAGCACTTAAGGAAGAGCTGACATTTAAAGTCTCTTTCTTGCTTGAGAAAAATTAGTAGTCCTTTTGTAAAAACACTAGAAATACTGTACACATTATAACACCCAAATAAATCTACCAGAACTGCAAATAAGTATAATTAGAAGCAGACTGGGTGAGATTTACCCTCCTATGCTCATGCAGACTTTTAAAAAGTAGTTTTGACTAATCTAGTAGATTATAATAAGCAGTAATGTCTAAAGAGGATGATAACTTCTCGAAAATTGGGAGATTAACACAGCTGAAGTTTTCTTTCAGGAATATCCTGTTACAAAATCACTGGACTCTAAACCCTCTTGGCTTGCTACACAAACACCAACTGGTGTCATTTTAAGTCACTGGACGTCTAGTTTCTGAACTTTCTCTAAAGCTTCTGATTTACAAAAACCATTTCATGTTGTTTTGTAGACTTTCTTTATCCTGTGCAAATGATGAATTGGAAAAGTTTTTTGCTATATGCTTTGACTTTGGACTTTCTATATTAAAGCTTTTAAATAAGTTAAGTTTCTAAGGACAAAAAACCTTCTGTGAGCCATGTTTTATTCCTGTTTATATGGAGTCTGTACAGGTCTCCCCAAAATTTAGACCTTTTTCTGACTTCACATTGGAAAATATACACACTTCATTTACAGTTTCTTTTTTAATGGGCTTTAAGTGGAAATATGTACACATTTGTCCTCCATATATGTGAGACAAAAGAAATCTTTTAAGTTGGCCCAAATGAAGAGTAAAATGTTGTTAACCAAAATTTATCTCACCCTTAGTAGTTTATTTTTTTCCTTCCAATGTTTCCAACTTCTTAAACTTTCAGTATTGCTTTAGCTGTCATTACTTTGCAGCTTCTTAAAGATTTATAGTTTGTTTAGAAATCATTTTCACATTTTCCTAACACTTTCATATGGTGTTTATTTATTTGTTCTGAATGTAGAATGAGTGCTCTTTTTTGGGCCAACCCAGAGCAGTCTTTCATTAGTCAGTTTTCTTGCTGCTGGAGCAAAATACATGACACCCACAATTTAAAGTATAAGCTCTTTAATTTGACTCATATTTAGGGGGATTCTGTCGATGGTCAGCTGGGTCCACAGCAGAAAGGGAATAGTGGAAGAGCTCTACGGCTGCCCATTCCGTGGAAGCAGGAGGAAGGGGCTAGAGACAAAGATGCACTCTCTTTGGACACACTTAGTGGATGCCACCAGCCCTAACAGCACCCCCTAACAGCACATTCAGCTGTGAGCTCATCAATGTATCAGTCCACTGATGGGTATGGCAACCCCATGATCCAGTCACCACCTCTGAACACATGAGACTCTTGGGGGAGATTGTAGATCAAATCCACAAGAAAACTTTTGCTTTTTATCTTTTCCTTTGAAATTTTAAAATATTTTAACGTCTAATTTCTCACTTTGTTGAGCTCAATTCTCTGTTACCCACTTGTCTCCCGGGCCGTCATCTGGCACCTAAGAAGCTCTCCATGGGCACGTGCCGAATAACACCCAGGGCAACATCAGCATTTTCGATTTTGTGTGTCACCATTACCTGAAATTGAACATGCCAAAGTTGAGGTTATACTTCTTCTCTTGATATATCCCCTTGCTTGCCTTTTTATTATTTGGGAAGTAATAAAATTTCTTCCGTTCATCCAAATTTGAAAATTTATCATTTTTTCTACATTTCATCTTTGATTATGAAGGCCCAGGTCATACTGATTTTTGCTTTTGAGGCATAACAATATCTGAGCCTTTATCATCTACTTCTCCATTTTCATACCAACAGTGCCAATCTAAGCAGTTCCGCACAGCTCACAGGAGTCCTTTCAGGTGTGCTCCTTGAGAATTTTATGCCTTCTTTTATCAGACAGAGGGAAGCTGGTAGAGATTCTTCAGCAGCTTCATAAAATTGAGCAGTGAGGTAGGATTGTAGATTTATTGACAGTGGAAGGATTATGGATGGAGGAATCTTAAGCATAGTTGTTATGGTTTATATTTAAATGTCCTCCAAAGCCTCATGCAGTCATAGGTGGGGCGTTTTGGAGGTGGCTGGTTCTGGAGTGTGTGATGCTGGCATCAAGGGTGTGTGGTTACTAGTTTAGTCCACTGATTGGTTTGGCACAGTTCTGGGTAAGATTAAGGGTGCCCCCACCTGGCTGTGAATGCTATCCACCCTACTGGTGCGTAGGCTTAATGAGATGTAAAGGACAGAAAGAGGGTTGCTGGTTGTGCTTGG